TGGAAAACTCAAAAGATAATAATCTTTGTCGAAACGTTGTGCTATCACTTAAAACTTGTAAAGAAATGATTTGTGGCACAAGTTCTTAGCCATTTTCAGAAACTCCTCTAAACCAAAAATATTCTCTTGTCTGAACCGTTATGTTTTATTTACAATTAATGGAGTCGAGATACTAGCCTTCCTTCAAAAATTCAGTTGTCTTAACGCGCTGTTTTCGTGGTCAATTTTCAAGATTTTCTAATGGGTTTCTCGAATTAAAGGATTCTAGAAACCTGTGAGTTAACCGTTAGAATTTAAGTCAGAACTTTGACTCTCTTCATGTATGCTTCAACTTATTACATTTTATTAATAAGAAGCAATACACGCTTAAATAAAGACCCTGAAAATACCCAGTACACTAAATTTCGCCGTCAGGCAATGGCCCAGTTACTGTTTTCTAAGTAATATTCACCTATTAAACATATAAACTTCCTGTTTTGCCTTGCCATGGTTTTCTGACAAAACATTCACACCAAACATCGTTTTATCTTGAGCGATCAGAAAGAAGTCGGCCTTAACTTGGCTAAGGCATTCAATAAAATTTACTTCTTTGTAAGTTTTAAAGTTGACAACTAGTATTTTTCAATTCAGTGCACTTAGGTACAAGCTAGAAAATGGCAACCAAACCACTTACGCCATGGCTAGGTTCTAAAGCTACGCAATTCGATCACTATCATTAATTCAATCATGTTAAATACTGGCGAATCTCGGTAATTTGACAAGCAGAAGAATTGACAATATAATGGATTCTTTTTGGGGAAACTGGCTTGTAACAAATTTGAAACATTCCAATGGCAATGACAACACTGTCCTTACGGCTACGGTGGAAACCGCACGTTCAGTTTACCTGAATGAATCTGGCATTTTAAAAACTAACAGTCACTTACTAGCTGTTGTAGTAACCAAAATAGCAAACACTGTGAGCAAGTGGGAGCGCATGATTTTAACAGTTGGATTCCTTGATTTCAGCAGAAAGAACTCTGACAACTACTTGCATGAACAACCCTGCGTCGAGGGCAACACCTTTATGCGACGCGGTTTAGTCCGACACTCCCGCCATTATCCTTGAGTAATGAGGCGCGAAAAACTGACCCAGTAACCTTTCTTTCAAGAGAATTATAATGAAGGTGGAGCTTTAATAAAACAAAATTTTTTAGAAATTTTGGTTACATGTGCCCCCTGTGCACCCAATGCCTACGGTGTCTTGAAATTTGCAGATTGTATCGGGCTACATAGTAGCTTCTGAACAATCAGAATTCTATTAAGGTTGCACGAAGAATTCACTAATTGGTCAGGCCTAGATAATAAAATAAAACAAAGCGATTTTTAAAGCATTTCCTAAAAAGGAAAGCATCATCCCAAATAAGGAAGACGACCCCATAAGGCCATAGTGCGCCATAACCACGCCGGCCATTTTGAAAGAACTGTGATAACTGCGTGCATGGAAAAAACGCCGCATCGAGCAACACCTTTATGAGAACTTGAAGTCCGATACTCCTTCGTCCTTGAGCAAAGAGGCGAGAAGACTGACCCATTAATTTTTCTTTCAAGAGAATTATAAATAGTTTGAGCTCAAGTGAGTAAAACAAAATAAAAAGGATTAAGGGAGGGAGGGTGAAGGCAGGAAATCAAATATGCAATTAAGTTCATCTTCGTCAAAAAAATTGTGGTTAGATGCGCCACCTATTGCCTGCTTTTCTTAAAAAGTTCAGTAAATAAACAGCCAAATCCAGACGACAGATCTTTCCAAACCGAAAAACACAAAACGTTTTTCACGATTAGACGATTTAACTGATTTCTATACCAAGCATTGTAGAACATTCCAAAACTATTTGAAAAGAGGAGTCTCGGGAACAGCCTCAGATCAAATGATGAGCTGTTTTTGTTACCACCTGCTGTTAAGACTCTAACAATCCTCGGTGTCGGGGATTTCGCAGCAGCTCCACCCAGACTGTGAACCAGTTACCATCAGAACTTAGGAGAATTGGCGTTGTAAATATCTTTAAGCGAGCACTTCAGACATACCTTTCCAAACAAACATTATTATAAAGCAGACTATTGTAATTAAAATTTTCAATTTCACTAGCACAAGGATTTTGCTTTGCAGATAGCTCGTTCAATAACATATGTATGTACGCGCAATTAAAAATGTAAAGTTGTTATTGTTGTATATATGTTTTTATGCTTTGCACTACAGAAAAAAAAAATTGTGGTTATAGCAATGGTTTACTAACAATGACAACGATTTTTTAAAAATTTCATTTATAAATGATAGAAACGAATAAAAAAAGAATATAAACTGAATTAATGAGGGCAAATTAAAGGTAATATACAGTAAGTCTGACGTTTAAATTCTAAAGGGACGAAAAGGTTCAAGATGACTAGGAGCTATATCTGTCTATTTTAAACACATAACAATGCACATGATGATAGAGAGTTTTAGATTCGAGTTTACCGCGAACCTCTAACCGCTGGAGGTCACGTGACAAGTCTTTCGCGTCACGTTTGAGGTTTACGACGTGCGTTTTCAACGTGGGGAGGTAGGTTTTCACGTATGTCATTTACCTGAAAGCTTTAAGCGTATAATTCTTGTTTTATCCCACGTTATGATATAAAAATCTTGTGGAGCAAGTCTTTATCCATTAACAGAGGCACAAATTCGGGCGAAATGCTAAATTTAATAAATCCTACTGGATCTTGAAAACAGTGCCATTTATGGCTGCTGATTCAAAATATCGGCCGTAATCTAATCCACCGACAATCTAAATCGAATTATGTTTGAACGTCGAACCGCAAACGGGTAACCGCAAACCGCGGTTAGAGGTTCGCGGTAAACTCGGATCTAAAACTCTCTAATATCTTAGCTTAACGTGTTCGTGCGAAAGGATCAAGAATTGCACAATTATCCTCTCGGGTGATACTTAATGTCAGGGGGACTCAACGACATTTTTCGGAAAATATCTGTTCGGAAGACGATTTGAGATCTAGAATTTTCGGAACATTTGTTGTAAAATTCCTTCCTTGCCTGTCTCTCCTAGGATTTTCGAACATCTAAAAAACATCTAAAAAATGGTATAATTGCCCATTTTTAATGGAGATTTACCCTAAAAAGGTCACCTAGAATTTTCGGGAGCCTTTTTTCTGGCTGAAATTTTCGGAAAGGTAAGTTTTGATCCCTATAATTTTCGGATCACTAGACTTTCAGCTAGAAAATCCGAACAGATTAAAAATTTTTAGGGGATAAAAATATGCCTATATCTACCGTTTAAATACTAAAATACGTTTAACAATGCTATGTTTAAGTGGTTTTGAACTATATTCTCGTTGGGTGCCCCTGTTAATGTGTTACATGACATAAATATTTATGATGATTACTATAAATTTCAAATTATTTTGTTATGGAGAGACATGTACAAAAAGACGCGGCTTGCTTGAGTGATCCTTAAATTTCTGTGAACCAGTAAATTTTCATCGGCTACCGGACCAATTACATTTTGGATAAATTATAAATAAGTTATGGTTAAATTCAGTAACAGTCATATAGATTGGCATTTTCCCACTGAGAAAACGCGCGGTGAGTTAACGAAGAATGCGCAATTTACCCGCATTTTCTGAGATTCACCAAGCGGAAAATCCTTCGTTTTCCAAACGTTTTCACTCCGGTTAATTCGAGTATTCGTTCCATTATCCATCAGTTTTCCGATTCAGTGAACGCCGGTAAACATGCGTTTGCTGACGTTCACCGATCGGTTAACACTCGGTGAACGTGTTGTATTCCGGCATTTACCCTGAGTTTTCAGACGGGAAAACCTCGAGTTCACCGCAGTTAACGAGTGAAATCCTGCCTTTTGCGGACGTTTTCCGGCGTTTTCCGAAACGGTGAATACCGCTGAATCCAGGAAAATCGCATGTATTCCAGCGTTTACCGATCGCTTACCGTTAGGAAAACTGCGCGTTATTCCGACTTTTGCAAGCAGTTTCCTTGCGTTTTCTTTCATTTTCCGTGACAGTGAATTCAAGTAAATTCAAGAAAACTCGCGTTTTCCAGCATTCACTGATAAGTTGAGGCATGGAAAACAGATTGTATACCAGCGTTAGCGGTCGTTTTCTACTAGTTTTCTGGCGTTCTCAAGTACAGAAAATTCGTGTGAAGTTAGGAAAACGCAAAATTTTCCCGCGTTTCCCGTTATATCTCCTTTGGAAATTGCTTTTGTTTCAACAATTTGCTTTTTCCTCCCCTGTTTTCAATGGTGTTGTAACGTTCAGTATTAATTTAATTCAGACAGGGAAAATATCTTGTATGACAATAAAGTGTATTAAAGAACCTTTTAAAGCTATGTGTAACTGTAACTATACAGAAACAAGACGTTTGTGAATTGAACTCATGGTTCTGATGCACATCAATTTTGACATCAAACTGAATACTGGGTAACAAACATTATGCGGTTAATTCCTAAGATGCAAAAAATTATTATTTACATTTAAAGAATAGAAGCTGTTCACAATTCATTTTTTGGAAACAAATTTACTTAAGGAAATCAAAGATTGCAGATTGAGTAATATAACAATAATTAAAAACCATATTTCTTTTTGAAATAAATTATGCCCACATCAATAAGACTGAGCTGTTACATTTTGCTCTTCAGTCTACTTTACATAGTTACTTCAACTTAACCTTTAAAGGCTGCACCAACTTTTTGAGAAACGCTCCCTATTTAGGGTGAAACATTCACTTCAGTGGCAAAGAGAAGTTGCTTAAACAATCTTCTGGTGTTTCTTTACAACACCTCGACTCTTGATATGAATTAAGTATACCTTGTCAATTCAAAGGGCTTTAACAGTTAAAATGACTTATGGGGAATTGCACACAGCCCATTTCAAATGTTCTGGGACAGTGTCTGTCCCTCTTTCACTGGCAACACCTTGTCTTCGACTAACTGATTGTCTCCTTTGTTGGGAGGTCATTGCTGCCTTTGCTTTTCCATCCAAAAGTTTAAAAAGTTGTTCACATTCTCTGTTCTCCAAGACAGAGGCCTGGTTCTCAAGGAATTATCTTCCGGGTAACACTCATCTGAAGACACAAGGCTTACATGAAGGGCTGAAAACAGGTCACCATCCCTTTCCTCCTCAGTGACGGCTTTCAGTCTTTTATCAAGCTTCTACATACAAAAGAGAGAGAGAGAGAGAAAAAAAAAACTCAGTAATTCAGCTAATTTTTTGCATAAAACATCACATGGCAACTCAAAAGCTACTTTTATACTGATTATCTGAACCCCAACACTGTTGTAAAAAATTAACACTGAGCGAGAGATAATGATGTTAGTTGTTGCTCTTAAACTTATGTAGTTGCGGTCGGTTAGGACTCTGAAACAGCTTATGACTACTAGGGTAACAATCAGTTAATCTTTTGGAAAATGAATTACATAGAAAGAAACACACATCACACACTTGCAAATAGAAGCCGTATAATATTACAAACTTTACTCCCCTCTACTCCAGTCCTAACAGCGAAGGATGTACAGTATACCTTCTTGGTCAATTAAAACAATTACCATTTGAATACTCAAAATTTTGATTCAAAAGTTTTTAATAACATGACAGAGAACCTCACCCTCTTAATTCTTTGCCTTCTTTTCTGCTCCTGTTGGTACTGCTCATATGTCCCCTTCTCCTCCTGTCTTTTTCGCTTCTTGCTTGAGGCCAAGTTTTGTGAAATGGCATCTAACAAAAAAGGACAATTAATCTGCATAATAATTTATTATGAGCATTACCATAAGTTCAATTTTTGGAACCTTTTGTACAGGGGTTTTCTCAAGTCTAAGATAATTGCTTTTCCTGATCGAATTATTACCTATCATGTCACCCATGGATAAAATAATGATCGCCATTTTCCTAAGAAATATACAGTGAAAGACCATATTTCTAATACTAAACTAGAAAAAGGCGATCATTATTACATCCAAACAGGGCACAAGGATCTTTTTTCCCATTACAATCTTATTCTAAGAGAACTTTAAGAAAAAATGTCCCGAAAAGCGCTCCATAATACAAACTAAATGTGCTCATGCCCCCTGGGCATACTCAAATAAGGCAATACTCCTTACATAGAATTAATTCAATATGGCCGCTGTATCGGTAAAAAGGTCTATTAAAAACAGTTTACATATACACTGTAGATAAACTATCTTCAGATCACACGTACATCTATTTCATACATCATTTTTTTAAAAGGTTAATTTGCACAGTAGTTCAAAACTGTCTATCTTAAAGGCACAAAAAATTTTAACTAAAGGTAATTTGGACAAAACCTGGAGCTGCGATACAGTGTTTTTGAAAAAGCAAAGCCAAATTAATGAAGGGTGAAATGAAATGTAATGCTGTATTGGTATAAAATAGATTCTAAATAACTGCAAATCTATTTTGTCAATGTACTTTTATAAAAAAGCTTGTGTGTTTATAAATCAAGCACTACACCTATTGGAAAAAGTGACTGCATGTACCACTACAATGAAGAGGTCCCATAACAACATACCACATTTATTTGATTAAGTGCCCTGCCTGGGTGCTCACTAAAGTTTTGCACCTTGAGAGTGGGCTATTATTCAAGTTGGTCACTTTAATATGTGTATTTGGGCTGGGTGTTTAATGAATTCTCACAGTTTTCACCAAAAGTAATTTTGTTGGAGATTGAGTAATTTTGTTTGAGTTCCAAACCAGATTTTTAACTGTTCATTGAAAGTTTCTTTAAAATACTGTACTAACAAAACTTGGTCTCTAGCTGGTATGGGGTAGGCACTTATTCGAGGTTAGGAGATAATTCATTTTTTTTCTGCCTATAAGGTGGACGATTATTGGAGGCGGGCAGTTACTTGAGGTTGAGCACTTTATCAAATAAATAATAAGGTATTCTACTTTCTTTGCAGCATTTGTTGTTACATGTAATTACAAATTCTCAGTAACATTGACTTTTCTTCTATTTTCTGGTACAAACCCCTCAACCCCAGTGTCACTAACCTGCACAATATTGTATAGTGCTCCTAAGATGTTTGCCTAGTACTGAAAGGAAAATCAGGAATCAATGAAGTTCACTTAATTACTTTTAACTGTCACTGCTGGTTTAATTACCCACTGAAATGTAAGATACTGAGTATTTACATATGTACAGGGGCTGCGCCACCACGGTCTTAGTTCACTTTGTTAATATTAAACAATAAATGGTGTGGGATGAGGTTTTGTGATATCCAGAAATAATCAAGGGAGAGGTTTGACTAAATGACATCAGCTGAGCCGAAGGCCTAGGCTGATAACACTTACTGAGACCTTGATTATTCCAAATATCACAAAAACCAATTCTGATAGTTGTTTCATTATGCATTGTTTTCAAGAAAACAAGGACAAACACAGAATTGCATGGAACACAGTTTGACATTCCTCTTAGAAATCATACTTGGCGTGCACCAGGGGGTAGAGACAAAGTCGGGCTTATGGCGTACGATCCCTGCCAAATTTTAAATTCATCATTTAAATCTCTAACCTTGGTACTTGAATTTTATAGCTGAATTCAAAATTTTACACTCTTCCTTTGGAGCAAAACGTTTTTATGCTCACGTCCCTTAGCTTTTAAACTCAATTCTTCTATTTGACCTTACTTGCTGTGTATTTTCAACTCGCTTCGTCAAATTACATAGTAGAAACATCAATTGTCAACTCGGCGCTGTGAATAAAACTATACACCAGACAAATTTTCCAACATTGCTACTTTTATAAGCTTGAATGCCTGAACCAATACTTGGGGCATTTTGCCACTTACCGAGTCATATTTCAAACTCAACCATGTGTACTTCCAACACGACTTGTGAATTTTCGTTCACGCTTCAGTGATCATTAATCAAGACCAGGGAGAATCCCTGGGTCAAAACAATAGAAGCCTTTGTCGGGTGGGTGGCTCTTTAGTCCATCGTGCTTAGCGCATATTACACAAACATGGCGGCAGAGTTTGCACTTGCTTAGATTCCTATCAGTATGGTGATTATGGCAGATTCATGCATCAACTGGGGTATTCAAATTGCACTACTATAAATAGTGGGATTTACCTGATTCTATCGTGGCTGGCATGGGATCTGCCACAGCATGTTTATCGAGCGCACAGCAATAAAAGGGGTTGGTTGGTAGGCCTAAACGACTTTTACCTCTTACCAAAATGTTTCTCGTTCCGAAAAGTTTTTTTCCTCTGCTGGGTAGATTATGCTCTGGAAGGTTCTACAATTTCACTGAACAAATGTGATTTTAGCCCCTTGTTTCACACTGAGAGGTCGTGGAACACATTGATTTACTGTGGTTTTTGTTTCTGGTTGGCAGGATTTACCCTCTGACGCAAAAGCATTTTCTTTGACCTCTTTTAAAGCATAAAGTTTTTTATTACGGCTGAATAAGGGTTCTAATTTTCTCTTAAGTGCCCTCTGGATTTGAATATTTTAAGCGATTTTCTCTAGTCCTTTAATGTAATGTTTTTCTGCAATGTTGTATCATTCTGGGCCTAACTCGTTTAGTAGTTTTCTTTGCAGGATATTAAATTATCACAGATAGTGATCGATTTACAGATCCAAAATTATAAGAATGAGGTGAATCAACTATAGATAATTGCATTGTGACATAGTAGACTTTAGCTTATCGTTTTTCTAAAGATAATATGAGTCTTTTGACTGGAGTGTGTATTTCCTTCCTTGGTAAATACCTTTGAATGAGCTTAACAGTGTTTGGACTGTATTTTATGGCCACTTTGTGATCAGGTAATCAGAGATTTTGATCAAATCAAACCATCAAAAATCAAACAATCCAAAATTTCATTACAGATCACAGATCACTTGAAATGAACACTACACATGTGAGAAGGTGCAGGCAAACACTTGCGCTTAAAGCACAATGGACTAAAGAACCACCCATTCCGACAAAGGCTTCTTTGGGGGGGCTCCCTGGTCTTGATCAATGATCACTGTAGTGTAAACACAAATTCAAAAGTTTTGTTGAAAATATATATGGTCGAGCTTGAAATGTGACTCGGTAAGTGGAAAAATGCACCAAGTATTGGCTCAGGCATTCAACCTTATAAAAAGTAGCAATGTAGGAAAATTTGTCCAGTGTACAGTTTTATTCACAGCGTTGAGTTGAAAATTGTATAGTTCTACTATGTAACTGTAATTTGAAAAAGATACACAGTGAGTAAGGTCAAATAGAAGAGTTGGGTTTAAAAGCTAATGTTGAATGTAAAATTCAAACCATAAATTTTCGCGGGGATCATACACCATACGGAGTGAAAAACATTTTCACAACTTGCAAAGCAGTCACCTTGTGTGGTGGACAGTGGATAATTTTATTACAAAGTAACTAGTTCAGAGGTGAAAAGTGAACCAGCAGAGAGAATAATATTCAATAAGTGAAAAAAATATATCTCATGCCTCTTTGTTTTTCTCACATATCCTATTTGTCCTTGCAAAATCCAAGTGAGACTATCTGCATTACTGTGTAAATTCTTAACCAACAACAATGTGTGCTGGACTATCGATTGAATTGATCAACTTTATAGATACATTTATTTTTCTGGGTGAAGAGAATACTATAGTAGCTGTGATACTGATAACAATTACTTGAGAAAGTGCCAGATTTATCAGAATTAAATCTATTTGAGAGGTTTATAATATGGACTTACATTGTGTACATATCTGATTATACAAATTCACAATTCAGTGATAACATTTAATTTCACTTTGTTTAATGGAATCAGTAAACACCTTAATTGAAAGTCAAAATTCAAATGAGCCAAATAAACAAATTACATCCATTGCTGAGAGCTCTTTACATTAAAGCAGCCTTAACTTTCCTTAGGTTTGCAGCAAAACACTTCTCAATATCTTAACTATTCGGCAATTGTTTACGCTATACGTTGCTATAATACATGTATTATGTTGCATAGCCCGTGAACAGGCTCTCTGTTTGGGGAAAGTTAAAAAAATGACGAGGGAAGGGGAAGGGGAAGAGCCAATAGAGAAACCTATGAGGTTGCTATTTTGCAGCACCCACTGTGCATCAGATTCTGATGCAAGCTCCTATTGGCGAAAACACTGACAGCTCTTGTGATCTTTAACATGGCATCTTCTGGCACATCACTGATAAGCTTATTTAGCCGCATATTAATAAAGAGCTTTACATTTCAAAAGAGCTAAAATAAAATCTTCTTGCATCAGAGGGCAAATCACACTGACCAGAAAAAATGACAACAATAAACTCAGACAATCAGTATGCATGTCATGACCTCTCAGTTTTAAATGAGAGGGAAAACCACAATTTTGCTCAGTCAAAACTTACGTTCCAGCACATAATCCACCACCAGAGAAAGAACTCATTGGAACAAGCAGCATTTGGCACCAGGTAAAAGTAAAGTGTTGCTTACCGACCTCCTTTTTACATGAAAAACTGATTACATTTACAATCTTGCTGACAGTAGATCAGCAATTAATAGACAAGAGGGTGGAATAGCGGCCTCAAAGGTTTTGCCCTTTCCCCAAACAGAGAGCCTGCTCACAGGCTATATGTTGCATATTCCAAACTCTACAAAGAGAAAAAAGAAAGAGCACAACATACAATACATCTGAAAAGCGACATAAATCAGTAAAGTTGCAATTTACCAAAATAAACGAAATGCAATAGTGAGAAACAATCCCGCCTTCAACCACCATGATTTTGTTCCTTCTC